GGCCGCCTGATGTTTCGTGTGACTGACAGAACATGGCCTCTTTGCCCCTTCTTCGACAGACACCCGTGTCGGTGACAAGGGCTCCCAGCTCTCCGGTGGCCAGAAGCAGCGTGTCGCCATTGCCCGCGCCCTCATTCGCAACCCCAGACTCCTCCTCCTCGACGAAGCCACTTCTGCTTTGGTGAGTACTTGTGCTGTTTTGCCTGCACCTCGATTGCGACCACTTGATGGGGTGGGGATGGTCACTCTCGCTCGCGTCTCCTGGATCTGTACTGACCGAGAATACGAATTGACTATCACCAGGACTCCGAGTCTGAGAAGCACGTGCAGCAGGCCATCGATAACGCCATCAAGCAGGGCGGCCGCACCACTGTCACCATTGCCCATCGTCTCTCGACCATCCAGGACGCCGATCTGATCGTCGTGTTGAAGGAGGGAGTCGTTGTTGAGCAGGGCACCCACTTTGAGCTCTTGGCTCTCAACGGAGTCTACAGCGCCCTGGTCAAGCAGCAGGATCTCAACGTCCTGCAGTAAGCGGGCCTTTCCATCCGTCAGCCGCCCTGGCCACTTTCACTATCCGAGCGATCGATTCCAAGATCCTCACAACCACATTTCCGATTCACAAGTCATCCTAGTTCCTAGTTCTTACCACAAAACGGAGCCCTGAGGGACCCTTCTCTCTCTGCATAATTCAAGTATATGAGCCCAAGATATTCATGCCCTCAGGATAACCCTGATTACGCCTTCCTCCTCTCCCCAATTCCGATGATGGTTCATCCATCTGTTGGTCTTGGGTTTCCCACAAATCCATACTCCTTCTCTCCCCCACACAATCTTTTTGTTTCATTGTCCTTCGTGACTGAGCTTGAAGAGTGCGCCAGTTCCAACTCTTTCTGTATGTTGCTTTTATTGTTGCTTGCTTGCTTGCTTTCACCACAACCCCATTTCTTCTGTTCACATCGAAAGAAAAATCAGCACCAAAAACCGGCAAGAAGTAATTGCGGAAGGAGCAAAGAGAGAACACCATGAAAGCAGACCATCGAAATATTACTTCTGTATCCACGAATAGAGAATGACAACACAGATATCAAAACAACACAGGAGGGGGGGGGATTTCAGTTCGCGAACATCACGGGTGGGTTTGGGATGCGAGGGGAGGGGGTGGGAACAGTGCAGAAGGGGACGAGTGTGGGAACAGTGCTATTGGACACGAGGGTGAGAACGGAGCGAGATTGGGATCAAAACGACCGGCTGAGACTGACTCCGACGAGGCAGCAGAAAGAAACCGAGGGATGGACAATGGTCTCATTGAATGGGGTCGTATTTGTGTTGATGTGTGGGCAAGGCGACATTGACTGGGATTGACGACGGTGAAGAGCGCAGCGACTGGGGACAATGACGAGAGCAGGAGCAGTGCTGTTACAGAATGCGAATTGGGAATTGCGAATTGCGAATAGGGAATTGGGAAGCGAATCTATTTCGAAAGACAGCACCGATACCGCACCAAGCATGTCAAGCCACCATGAGTGGCAATCGCGAACGACAACAGCACCAACAACGATGCCAGCAACAACGACAACAGCAACATATGAGAGTTGCCAAGCAGACAGGACAGGCCAGCACACGCCATCATCCAAGAACAACCACCCAAGAACAACCACCCAAGAACAACCACCCAAGAACAACCGCTCAAGGACAATCACTCAGGGACAATCACTCAGGGACAACCATCCAAAGACAACCACTGCGAGCACAGCCAATCCACCTCCGAGACATGCACCGTGCCGGTCTTTCAGTGGCGGTATGTGAACGGCCGCCGCTCGTAGCCCTGGGTGTACGACGTCTCCGAGGCTGTCTTGAGGAGCCAGAGCTTCTCTTTTGTTTACAATAGTTGTATATTCAAGAACATTCAGCATGCCATCAGCACCATGCGGGTACACACTTCCTCCAAGAGGTCCCACAGGGACTCGCTGTCGTGGCCTTGTGGCCCTCAGCGCCCCAGTTACTCTGTCACTGCTAGGTGTGGGGAGAGGGCTGCCTCTCCTGCTGGTCGTGTGAAGTGCTATGTCCACCACTCTGTGTAGGTAATCCGCAGTTGAGGTGCAGTGCTCCATGTGTAGTCGTGTGAGCTGTGCGGAACAGCAAGTTCAGGCAGAATGTTTGTGTCCGGTGGAGCCGCTTCTGTTCGTTCTTTGGGATGGCGTCGAGGGCGAGTCCATATTCCATCATCGGCCAGGAACGTGCGGTATGCAATCGTCAGTGTCTTGGCCGTGAGGTTCCCAAGGGTCAGGCCCATCTTGGCCATGTTGGATGCTGCTTCTCTTGTCCTGGTCACCATTCGGCCCTGGCAGATCGTCGATGAAGGCGCTGAACATGAGTGGGCTCAGTACCGATCCCTGGATCAGTCCTTTCTGGAGCCATACTGGCTTGGATCTTCGGCCCTTGCTGACCATTTGGATGGATACCCGGTCAAACATGGCTTTGAGGAAGCCGAGGGCGATGCCGTTCATTCTTTGCTGCTTGAGCTTGGTCCAAAGTCGCTCGCGCCATACTGTGTCATAGGCGGCTTTGATGTCGAGGAACACCAGGGAGTACTCCTCACCGTTCATCTTGTGGTGCTTGATCAGGGTGTCCAGGGCGACGATCTGGTCAAGGGTTCCTCGTCTGGCTCGGAATCCGCCTTGGGCGACGTCCATGTCTCCTGCCTGTTCTGCCAGGAAGGGGAGCATGATCCTTTCCACGATCTTCCTGTAGGTCTGAGTGAGACCGATAGGGCGATAGGGCGATACATGGTCGGGTCCAGGGTCGATCCCTTCTGCTTGTACACCGGGTGGATCAGCACGCTGTTCCATTCGCTTGGCACCACACTGGCCTTGAGCGCCGCCATGATGATCAGGCGGAGCCACTCGGCTATCACTGGTGCGACTGGTATGAGCATTTCGCTCTTGATCTTGTCGGATCCCGCTGCCTTGCGGCGTGGTGCCTTCTCGATGGTCTCTTGGATGTGCTCCAGCGATACTTCTGGGAGCCGGTTGTCGGGCGGCAGGAGGGTCGCCTCCGTGCTCAGGGGTGGTGGGGTTATACTTCTGTCGTACTCTGTCCCGCTGTCCTGCGAGGCAGAGGATACCTTGCCAAAGTGCACCACGAGTTTCTCGAGAGTCGGATCCGAGTTGTCAAAGAGATGGGATCCTTCCCTCTCCTTCCTCGTGCGCATCGCTCCGATGGTCTTGGTCATCTCGGAGCACTTCTGGGTGTCCATGGTGGCCATGGATTCTTTCCATGACCGTATGCCGTTCTTGCGCTTGAGCTGGGTGATGGCCTTTCTCGTGGACCGAAGCTGACGACGCAGGTCGTCCAGCTCTTCCGTGTCGTACTCGGGGGTCTGGGCGAGCATTCTGCTCAGGCATCGCCGTTCTCGTTCCAGGCGTCGGATTTCGGGCCCCTGTGTGCCCTCGATCCGACCAGGGCTGATGCTGGATGGCCCCTTGGTAGGTTTCTGTTCTTCTGCGCTTTGGCGACCATCGCTGGCAGTGGGCCAGTGGGCGGGATGTGGTTCATTATCTGGTGTGCTCTCTCCCTGATGATCCCGCGGATATCGAGATCAAGTAAGGACATGCCACTTTTCATATCGCGGAGCTTGTCGCCATTATATGACAAACAATCCTTTGAGCACGGCCTCGATGATATGGAGCAGCATGGTCTTGCCGTCCTGGGTGTCAACCACAAGGAACATGATCGTTTCCCCGTTGTGTTCGGCAGTCAGTGCCGCATGGTTGTATCGGACCTCGAGCGTCGTCGTGAACATGTCCTCTGCCGAGGCCATGCGCCGTGTGCCATCCAGGAGATCGGTGAGAGTGCCATCACTGAACACGACGCTGTCCGTCGATGTGTCCAGGGTGCCCACAAAGGCCTTGTATCCTTGGCGAAGGCGGTCTTGAACGACGAGTGGTGGTTGGCGAGTCCGCTACCGTACTTGGTGATCAAGTCACAGTGGATCTTGTCGATCTGGGCAGCAGCGATTGCTGTATGGGATCGCATCGATTTGGGCCTGGTAGGTGCTTGGCGGCGTTGAGTGCCTTGGGGAATGCCAGGTTTTCGTCTCGAAGGAGACAGTCAAGGATGTTTGAGTGGTGGCTCCTTCCACACCAGATACTCGAACAGGTAGCCCATGGTGGCATCGGCTTTGTCGGTGAACTGGTCAAGGTCACGGGCACTGGCATTGAGGTGGGCATCAATGCAGAAGAGGTCGTTCGTGAGGACGCTCGTATCCTGGCAGAAGATGTGGATCGAGAGGGAGTGGTACTTGTCACTCTTGGACCCAAAGAGTCCTCTCTCAGTCGCCAGGCTGCACTGCAGTGGACTGGTTTCAACCTCGCATGGGCTTACCACATACGCTGGCGTGCCCCGGCGTCCCTGGGTCGGATCGAGGGTGGACCAGAAAGCTGCAGTGTGGTCATTTTCTTTCCTTTGGCGGCTGTAGAGGCGAACCTATGCTCGTTTGGATCCAGGCCATTCGTCGCCTTTGCCATCCTTTTGTGGGTCCATCGATGCTGATCAGGGCACGCTGCCTGGTGTCGGATCGAGGGAGGATGGTCTTGGTGCCGGGGAAGGCTGGTGGCTTGTTGTCTGCTTTCTTCGGTACCATGTGGCGAGGAATGGTCTGGATCGTGCTAACTCTTTCCACTATCTTTGGTTATAGAATGAGTATCGATTGTGAATGTCGAGTTGTCGTTGTCGGGTCATCGGATGTTTCCTCTCGGTCGATCAACATCAGCGATTCTTATGGGACAGCACTATTTGCATATTGGATGTATTGAATGTATTGAATGTCAAATACAACATCACTCGGCCATTGCCGCTCAATCGGAACCACTCTGCAAGTCCACTCTTTGGCATCGTGGTGGTTGGGGTGGGTGTTGGCGGCGCGGTTTGCTTGGCTGCTTGCTTGTTCAGTGTTGCGACTTGTTTGTTTGGGAGTGGGACTCGGGAGGCACTCGGGATCAGGGCCACTTGCCGAGTGCCTTGAGGTTGTCGATGGCATCTTGCCATCCCTGGTCGGCGGATTTGCGATACCAGAAGACGGCGGTGTCGATGTCCCGGGGGACACCACGGCCATATTGGTAGCAATAGCCGAGCCAAAACTGACCGTATCGATTGCCCTGTTCGGCCGACTTGAGGAACCACTCGACTGCCTTGCGTTCGTCCCCGGTAACTCCGTATCCGTAGTAGTAGCAATTACCAACCCTCCACTGCCCATAAGAATTGCCTTGGCTGGCCGACTTGAAGAGCCACTCGAGTGCCTTCTCGTAGTTCCTCGATACTCCCCTGCCAAAGCAGTAGCAAATTCCGATCCACAACTGACTGTCACTGTGGCCTTCGTTGGCGAGCTGCTCGAATATGCCGATTGCCTTCTTCTTGTCCTCGGTGGTTCCGAATCCATGGAACACACACACAGCCATCAAATGCCTGCAGAGCCAGTCACGGTCCGATCCCAGCTGGCAAACCTGGAAGAACTTGCAGGCTGCGGGTGAGTTGGATGAGATCGAACTCCAATATGCCAGACACTCGGCTTCCCCAAGGCCGAACTCATCCGATTGGTTATCTCGGATGATCCTGACGCCTTCCTGCTTGTCCTGCGTGATACCCCGGCCGAGGTAGTGCATCCAACCGACCATGTGGGTGGCGATGGATTTGATGACTGGGTCGGTGGATTGGGTGCTGACTTCATGCCAGTAGTTGAAGGCAGTTTCATCGCTCTGTTCGACACCATGGCCGATGAACGAGAACCATCCTCGGAGGAACACGATGTGGAGTCGACCGTCTTCGCTGCCTTGATCTGCGGCCTTGGAATACCACTCGATGGCCGTGTCGTAGCTTTGTTCGACACCTTCGCCGGTCTCATAGCATCGGCCGAGGGCAACTTGGGCCTGAGGGATTCCACGATCTGCAGGACCACGGTATAGCTCCGCGGCCTTGGTGTGATCTTTGTCGACTTCAATTCCGTTGAGATAGCACTCGGCCAGGCGAAACTGTGCCATCGGATGTTGGGCTTCGGCGGCACTCTCTAAATGGTGGAAGATTCGCTGCTTGATGGATTGCTGAGTGGACCGTTCCATGTAGGGTTGCCCTTCAACCTCGATTTGAAGGATCCTTGCCAGGAAATATGATGCGGCAGCATTGCCATGCTCTGCCTGAGCAACGAGCCAGGATCGATCAGCTGTCTCTTGATCATCACAGTGCAGCGAGATGGCAATCTGGTCGCTCGGTGTGAGGCCGAACTTTATCTGTCCGTCTGGATGACACAGTCCTGCATTCTGGCACCAGGTGTGGAAGCGAGGTAACCTGAAGCTCAGGAGAGGACGGGCGCGTTTGCACGCTCGGAGGAGGGTCTTGATGGTGCTGTGATCAATCGCAAGCTGGAAGCTGTCGTTGCAGCAGACGATGGTGAAGATGTCTGGGTTGGGTTCGAGTGAGAGTTGGGTGATATCGGGAATCGACGAGGTTGTTCTGGCTTCAGCTTGGCTTTGGTGGGTGGCAGATGATGCCGTGTTTGAAGCAGGCTCGTTCATGCTTGCCATGTTGAACGGGGAGACAGCTGGAAAGGAGAGAAGCGGGTGGGTGTTGGCGAAATGTGGGAGACGGCGAGGGAAGAGGGGGAAAACGGGCGACGAGGGAAGAAAAAGCAGGCAGGACCCGAGCCACGCCACCAGGTATCATTGGCGGTGACACGGTTTCAGATGCGCGACACACGAGCGCAGCAGGTGCCAAATCGAGATGGGATTGGGTGGGCTTGTGCAAGGCTTGCCTGGCGGATAAACGGGTAAACTCGGCGATGGTAGTACAGGTGGATTCTGCTGGTTCTGAGCGAGTCATTGTCGCTGTGAGGTCGTGATTTCTTGTATCACCATTGTATCGCCTATATTCCGCGCGACCGAGGAGCAGGGATCTCGCATCCCGATTGGCTCGGGTGTGCTGCGCAAGGTCACCCTTCTCCCATTTGGTTCGAATCGAATCGAATCCAACCAGATCCGTGGTCACGTGGACGATTCCTGTGATGTCGCGACCCAGCGCAAAAATCACGCAGTCGTGTGGGCCATATGGTGCGAGAAGGTGAAGCTTTGAAGTAGCGTTTGCAGGCGCTCAGAAGTGGCCAAATTTTAGTTCGCCCATATGAGTAAAAATTGTCACTATGAGTCATATATTCGAACCGGCTCGAGCCATAGGTGTCAATAGCAGTTCTGTGCTCTCCACCCCCGTGCTTCTGTCAGTATCCCGGTCACTTTCTGCATCACAATTCGGTTCGCATTCAGAGTCTGTGTCATCTGCACCGTCCCTGCTCAGTGCGGCATCGACAGTATGATAGGTTTTCTGGTGGGAGGTGTACCTTTTCCTTACATATGCCTGGATCTCAGTCAATGCAATGCCTCGTCTGTAAGCACGCATGTACCTCCATGTTGTCCTTGCATGCCTTCGGACTCGTTTGATATCTCCTGCTCTCCGCAGGGCTATTGGAAGTAACCTCACGAGATTTTGGAAACTGTTGAAGCACATATCTTTGGTGTATCGCTTGGCGTCGCACCAAAATCGTTCGATGAAGTTCAGCTCGCAGTGGAACTTGGGGAGAAAGATAACCTTGTGGCCGCGACGGTGAATGGTCTCGTCAATCCATGGCTCTTGTTTCTGGAAGTCTGGCTGGACCTTCATCAGGTGCCTGGCACAACAAGGGGTGCGTGTTGGGCCATCAGAGTTCTCGGTTTCTTTGGAGGTTCTCTTGCACGTCAGTGTCAGACCATCTACCCAGAGCCCTCGTTCCTCTAGCACGATGTAAAGTCCTTTGGGCTGCCCTGCCCATTGTCGCTCGAGGGAGTCGTGAAGAGGATCGTTGGTTAGATCATATTGGCTCCGTTTTTGTCAATTCATTTATCGAATCAATCATATTACCTCGTGCATTTCACCGTCCATTTGTTCCGGAAAGCACATCGCCTGAGGAATGTTATCTGGCCCGAAGGATGTAGGCCGGAACTTCTTTCCTGTTCCTGGCCAGAGTGACATGTTCTCCGCTCTGAGAGCGTCGTCAGCGAAGGCCCGGTGGTTGGATGAGTTGTCAAACTGAAACAGTGCAAAACAATTGGGATGCATCCGTTCAAATATAGGGATGGCTTCCTCGAGTTATTCAGTTAAATTTCGGCATGTCCACCAGTTTTGACGCCCAGGCCTGATGATCTTGGTCGAGTCGTCGTTGTCGTCGATCTTCAATAGACCATGACATTCACATAGAAATGCACTGACCATGAGGCTTGATCCCAGGCCTTTTGGTTTCAGTCTGCATTCGCCCTTCCGTTGCCATGAGTAGTTGGTTGATTCATTGGTGTAAAAAGTGCTCTCGTCATATGTGACGAGGACGATGCGAGGCAGGGATTTACATTTCGGGGAAGTTCCTCTTGAAGATCCGTCCCAACGTATCGAGTCATACGTCGTCTATAAATTTTCATCTTCTGGAGGTACGCACGGCGATAATCGACAACATCGCTACGCTCGTGTCCATCTACATATACCCCTTTCTTGTCCCTGGTCTTATTGTAGTCAAGGTGCTTCATCCAACGCAAGGCAGTGCGGTATGATATTTTGCCGTGTTTGAGCCGATATCTTCGAAGGTTCCTCTCCGTTTTGAGCTTTTTCAATATTTTTCTATTGACAAACTTGGCGAACTTCACCGGGCTGCGCTGCTTGTTATCACTCAGATATTCCAAGCACATTTCCGCAACTGTTTTATCCGACAACAGGGATGTCTCTCTTGGGTGAAGCAACGTATATGTATCAGGAATATATCCAGTCGTCAAATACTCAGTCGCTGCTTTCCTTATGATCCGACTGAAATATGGCAACAACTTTCCCATAGCAAGTTGACGGGCGACTTCGACACCGATCTTAGCGACCGTGAGTTCCGTGTTTCTTCGTTTCTCTCGAAGGTAGAGGTATATAGCATGGTGCATAACCGTCTTTCTATAGTTGGGCTCCTTCCCAAGAGATGTGTTTGCACATCGTGCGCATGTCTCACTTCTGAGGTGCCCGATGGCCGAGTCGATTTCCATCGATATCTGTTGTTCAAAGTCGGTGGATTCCGTGTCGTCTGAGGACACCGACTCCTGATCACCATCAATTTCGAATATCACATTGGAAGGGGCCTCGTCGGACGGCTCGTTTCTTTCGTAATTTCTCATGCCAGTGGAGACTCCAGCCGCTGTTAGGGATAGCTCCTGCTTGTTCTCCACTTTGACTGCACACTTGGCTATTCTTTTGCCTTTCTGTTTGTTTGTGTGTAGCCTTGCAGTTCCCCTCCGATTTTCCGCCTTTTGCCTGTCTTTTCCGCTCCTTCCGCACTTCCGTTTTCCCGCGCTGCTCCGCTTCCTTTGTCTTCTTCGCACGCGCCGGTTTGTTTGTGCACGCGCCTTGCTGCGATTGGTTGCAATTCGGCTGCCGGTCATGTGTCCCCCCACCGGTGACTCATGACCTGCCTGACCGCCCCGATCTCTTGTTCATCTCGCATGCATTTGCCCCAACCTTATACTTGACCAATCCGCTTCTTGGACGTTGAGTCACATTGCTTCGCCTTTGCACGTTTCTCCTGCCAGGTGCTTCGCTTTTGCTTGCGCCTCTCTCGCTTTGGTTCTCTGCCTGTCTCGGTGGTCCTTGTAACGTCCACTACTGGGACGTTGGGGCAAGACGGGGAGGGAGGGGGTACAAGACAAGACAGGACGGGGCAGAACAGGGCGGTGCTAGGCTACTCTAGCGGACGGGTGAGCTCGGGGAGCACTTACGTTTATTCACGATAAAACCGAACTCCAGACAAACGGGGGGAACGGGGGCAACCCGCAGGTATACCCTGCGGTGGCCTGCCTGCGGTGCGTGAAAACGCAAAGCGCAGCACAGGTCACGACCCACTGCGCCGCGCAGTACGCGCAGTACGCGCAGCACAGCGTCGGAGATACCATCTCCTACACTCCCACACTTAAGAAGGCTTCCTGCGAGGAGCCCTGCGTGTGCTCTTTATTTGGGGCTCCTCGAGGTGTTTACCGTATTTACTCAGCTCCTCGGGTGCATGGGACAAGTCCTCCAGTGTTTGCCATGTGTTGCCCGAGTGTGGGTAACCAACCCACTTGACATAAAACCGAAGTGACCCATCAGCCACTTTCTTGTGCCTCACGATCCTTTCGACTTCATATTCTTGAGTATAGTATTGTCCGAGGTCGTCTTCCAGTGGTGCGTCGTCCGGGACACCTTCGTCGGCGTCGGGGAACTGTGCTGGACTGCGGGTCGTGTGGCGACGCAGCTTGGACACATGGAAGACAGGATGGAGCTTGCTTCCAGGTGGCAAGTCCAACAGGTAGTTGAGGGGACTGGGTCGGGCCGCTATCTTGAACGGTCCTCGGTACTTGGGCAACAACTTCTTTGACTGGGCTTCGGGGACCTTGATGTTGTCGGCGTCCAGGTAGACAAGGTCTCCAACTTCAAAGGAGACATCCTGGTGTCGGCGGTCGTAGTACTTCGCCATCACTTGTTGCGCATCCGTGAGCGCGTCGGCGATCATCTTGTGTCGGACTTGATGATCTTTGACAAAGGCACTTGGTTTGGGAGGCAATCCAGCCGTGGACTCGGTCAGTGTCAAGGAGGTGGGAACATCAGGCTGGAATCCGTAGAGCGCCTCAAAGGGGCTCAAGCCAGTTGTGCTCGACTTGGCGGTGTTGTATGCAAACTCTGCATGACTCAGCTGTATGTCCCAGTCGTCTTGGCTGGTCGAGGCGTATGTCCTCAGGTATTGCTCGAGGGTGCGGATCGTCCGCTCGGACTGTCCATCCGTTTGTTGGTGGTGCGAGGTTGACATGTTCAGCTTGGTGCCGAGATGGTCGAACAGACTTGTCCAAAACAAGGAGGTGAATCGGGGGTCTCGATCACTGACGATGGACTTTGGGAGGCCGTGGTGCTTGAACACATGCTTGAAGAACAGCAGTGCAAGGTCAGGCGCGGAGCATGTCGTCTGGCACGGCACAAAGTGTGCCATCTTGCTGAACCTGTCGACAAAGACAGCGATTGCATCGTGGTCCAACTTGGTCGTCGGTAGATGCGTGATGAGATCCATGGACATGCTGGTCCAGGGGCGGTCGGGAACAGGCAGGGGTTGCAGCAATCCTTGCTCTCGGGTCGTGCGTGACTTGACCATCTTGCAGGTATGGCAGGACTCGATGTACTTCTCGACGGTGCGCTTCATTCCAGGCCAGTATGCGACTTTGGCCAGTCGGTCGTATGTCTTCTCGACTCCAAAGTGTCCAGCGAGGGGCGAGTCGTGGACCTCTTGGAGCAACTTGGTCTTCAACGACGGAATGTCCGGCACACAGACACGGCTGTCCTTCTTCAGGAGGAGCAGGCCATCACGCACTGTGTACTCGGATGATTCGTCGTCCTTGGGGAGCTTAGACACCTTTCGGAACAGTTCTCCGAACTGTTTGTCGTTGGCGATGTTGTCTCGGACAACATCCAGCATCGTGTTGTCGACACTGACAGTCGACTCGTACAGTGACGCCAATTGGTAGTCGGGGCGTCGGGACAGTGCGTCAGGCACCACATTGAGTTTGCCTTTCTGGTATACAACCTCGTAGTTGTACTCGGCGAGGAACTCCATCCATCGCGCTTGGCGTCGGCTCAGGTTCTTCTTGGTGTCGAGGTAACGCAGTGACTGGTGGTCCGTCACAATCTTGAAGGGCTTGGCGGTACCGTGGAGGTACACTCGGAACTTCTGCAGCGCGTAGATGATCGCAAGCTGCTCCTTCTCGTGCACGGGATAGTTGATCTCGTGTTGGGACAGTTTGCGCGACTCGAAGGCAACGGGCCTTCCCTCCTGCATCAAAACAGCTCCCACCGCAAAGTCGGAGGCGTCGGTGTGCACGGAGACATCCGTGTTCGGGTCGAACACAGCGAGGACAGGAGCGTTCGTCAAGGCGTGCTTGAGGGTCTCGAACGCTTGGCGTTGTGGGTGGTCCCACACGAAGGGGCACTCTTTGCGGAGTAGGTCTGTGAGTGGACCGGCAGTGCGCGCCAGATCGGGGATGAATCGGCGGTAGTAGTTGACGAGACCGAGAAACGACTGCACGTCAGAGACGCATGCGAGCGGCGGCCACTCGACCACAGACTTGACCTTGGCGGGGTCGACTTCGATTCCTCTTCCTGAGACAACGTGTCCCAGGAACGGGACTTGATTCTTGAAGAACTCACACTTGGACAGTTTGGCATACAACTTGTGCTCGCGTAGCTTGGCCAGCACGCGGGCGAGGCCGGGCGAGGCGGACGGGCTGGGACGTGATGAGACCGATGGCCGCCTGCCAGCTGCGGGTAGAACTGGCGGCCATGGTACTGGACGTTGTCGAGGTTCTCGGCAACGTCCATCATCACGTCCAGGGACTTGCGGGCATCAGGGTTGCTGGCGATGTACTCTCTGATCTTGGGCTTGAGGCCCTTCTGGAAGAGGTACATCGCATCAGCAGAGCCCAGCTCCTCAATCTGGGAGGAGAGGTCTTCAAACTCCTCGATGTAGCGGGTCACAGAACCACGCTGCACGAGAGAGTATAGCTTGTCACGGGCAATGAGTTCAGCATTGGGGCTGCCGAAGCGGCGACGGAGGCGGTCCTTGAAGTCGTCAAACACACCTTCGCTCTGCTCGTCGAACCCTTGGCGGCGGTACCAACGGTACGCCTGGTCCTTTAAGCAGAGCTTGGCGGCGACGATGTGGTGGGTGGGGGCGACTTGGGCAGCATCGAGGTAGTCCTCGAGTTGCTGCAGCCAGTCCTCCACCGAGGAGGAGCGGCTCTTCCCAGTAAACACTGGGGCACGGAAGGTCTTGAGGAAGGCTTCCGGAAGTGGGCGGGGGTTGCTCATGGCAGGGGCAGGCTCCAGGGACAGAGAGGAGAGTC